GGGACTGTCTCTGGACTTGAACAAGTGGCCTGCCATGTTGTTTGGTAATCTTGGGACTGTGCCATTTTATTTATTGACCTTGAATTTGTCAGCTTCAGAAGCCAGCAGCTCCCTTAGTTAAGAGAAGCTTCCAGCTCCAGTGGGCCAGGAGCAAGAGACAGAGCTGAAGCCCAAGTTCAAGGGGCTGTCACCTAGCCCCCAGAGCTTGGCACTTTGAGCTCAGACTTCTAGCCTCCTAAACTGTAAGAGAATAAATCCCTGTTTTTTAAAGCCATCCAACTGTGGTATTTTCTGTTAGAGCAGCACTAGAGAACCAAAACAATGATCTGTGTCTTTTCTCCCTATTTTAGAGAATGGCATCACCACCCATATTCTCTCTGACCATCAGGTTGGCATTAGGTGCCCTTCCTATGTGCTCTCAGAGAAGCCTGTAATGCCTTTCCTTTGCCACCAATCACATTGTCCTGTGAAGCCCAGTGAGAGCAAGGACCATCACTCTCTTGATATCCTAAGTGCTCAGCAGAATGCCTAACACAAAAATGATATCCAAAAATGTCACTGAAAACATGAATGGGTTAGCAAACAAGGTTTTTCTATATTGCTGCCCATTCTCATTGGGTTCTCAGCTCTGTTATTGGTATGTATCATTGGCCTGATGCTTTCACATCTAATACCTAATTCAAGTTATCCATTTTGTACTTCTGCCACTCTCAGCTTATAGACTTTTCTTCCTGTCTTCTTCAATCATCAAGCTATGGTACATCTATCCTGCTAATATAAAGATGATCTCAACCACTAGGTGACATGTCGGGACTCAGGTTACTCAATGTTATGGACTAACCTGTATACCCCTAAAATATGTGTTGGAATCCTAACTCCTAAAGCTACAAATATAATCCCATTTGGAAATAGAGTTTTCTTTGCTAGCTAATAAGTTCTTATCAGTGTCAGGTATATCCTCAACCTAATCACTTCTGAGTTATCAGGAGCAGCACAGACACAGAGACAAAGAACCACAAATGGGAGAACACAGATGCCACATGAGGACCTCAGGATCTGGGGAACTCAAGCCTACAGACGTTGAGGGACAAGAATTTTCTCCAAAGCAGAAATAAAGCTTCTCTTAGAGTTGGTGTCCTCAACTTGGAATTTTAGCTTCCTGAACTATGAGAAAATAAACTTCTGTTCTTTAAAGCCACCTACTTGTGATATTTCTGTTATAGCAGCACTAGCTAAGAAAGATAGTCACTAACATATTCTAAGACCTTTCACCTTCTTCCACATCACACCTGCTTCACCTACACACATAAGTTGGGTCTTTAAAATGTATGCAGTGAAGAGGGCTTACCCAGGAATCCTACGAGAAAGCTCACGAGAGAAGCAGACATCTGTGTAGGTAGAGTGGTGGGTTTGATGAGTATCCACAGGCTGAAACCCTGGTCCTGCAGCATGGTGACCTGGGACTCGCTCTTGGAGGCTGGGCTGGCACATGATTGCAGAGCTTCTTTCTCAGGAGAATATGTGGGCTGCCCATAAGATAAGCCGGGCTGGTACCTATCCCCAAATAAAATGTCTCTGTCTTTATTCTTCAGTCAACACTTGGCCAAAATGAAATGAGCACCTGGTAAGCAAATACTCTAAAGCATAGATGAGAAGCTTGAGGGGCTGTGAG